GGACATGTTAGAACTCCAGTATGAACTGGAGTCAAAAGCGGCCAAATGGTATGCCACCATTGACATTGCTAATGCCTTCTTTTCCATTCCTTTGGCCAAAGAATGTAAGCCACAGTTTGCTTTCACATGGAGGGGCGTTCAGTATACCTGGAACCGTTTGCCCCAGGGGTGGAAACACAGCCCGACCATTTGCCATGGGTTGATCCAAACTGTATTGGAACAGGGCAGTGCTCCTGAGCACCTGCAGTACATTGATGACATCATTGTGTGGGGCGATACAGCAGAAGAAGTCTTTACAAAAGGAGAGCGAATGGTCCAAATTCTTCTGAGTGCTGCTTTTGCTATTAAGCGAAGCAAAGTGAAAGGACCTGCCCAGGAGATTCAGTTCCTAGGCATAAAGTGGCAAGATGGCCGTCGTTACATCCCGACAGATGTGATCGACAAAATCACTGCTATGTCTCCACCCACTAGCAAAAGAGAGACACAATCTTTTCTGGGTGCAGTGGGCTTTTGGAGAATGCATGTTCCAAACTACAGCCTCATTGTAAGCCCCCTTTATTATGTGACACGAATGAGAAATGAGTTTACATGGGGCCCTGAGCAGCAGCAGGCTTTTGAACAGATTAAACAGAAGGTAGCCCGTGCCGTGGCCCTAGGGCCAGTACGGACGGGACAGGGTATAAAGAACATCCTCTATACCGCTGCTGGAGAGAACGGTCCCACTTGGAGTTTGTGGCAAAGAGCCTCAGGAGAGACCTGAGGCCGACCCCTGGGATTCTGGAGTCGGGCGTACAGGGGGTCTGAAGAGCACTACACTCCAATTTAGAAGGAGATCTTAGCTGCATATGAGGGGGTTCGGGCTGCTTCCGAAGTAGTCGGTACTGAAATACAGCTCCTTCTGGCACCTCGACTGCCAGTGCTGAACTGGATGTTTAAAGGAAAGGTTCCCTCCACCCATCATGCTACTGATGCCACTTGGAGTAAGAGGATTGCACTGATTACACAACGAGCACGGATGGGGAACCTCAGCCGTCCAGGAATCCTAGAGGTCATCATGGACTGGCCTGAAGGTAAAAAGTTTGGAACACCACCAGGAGAAGAGGTATCATGTGCTAAAGAAGCCCCACCATACAATGAACTACCAGAGAATGAAAAGAAATATGCCCTGTTCACAGATGGATCGTGTCGTATTGTGGGAAAGCATCGCAGATGGAAATCTGCTGTGTGGAGCCCCACACGACAAGTTGCAGAGGCCAATGAAGGGGAAGGAGAATTGAGCCAATTTGCAGAGGTAAAGGCTGTCCAACTGGCCTTAGATGTTGCTGAACGGGAGAGGTGGCCAATGCTCTATCTTTACAGTGACTCATGGATGGTAGCAAATGCCTTATGGGGGTGGTTACAGCAGTGGGAGCAAAATAACTGGCAAAGAAGGGATAAACCTATTTGGGCTGCTGAACTGTGGAAAGACATTGCTGCCCGAACAAAGACTATAGTTGTAAAGGTGCACCATGTAGATGCTCATGTGCCCAAGAGTCGGGCTACTGAAGAACAGCAAAACAACCATCAGGTAGACCGAGCTGCCAGAATTGAGGTGGCTCAAATAGACCTGGACTGGCAGAACAAGGGTGAATTATTTCTGGCTCGGTGGGCCCATGAGACCTCAGGTCATCAAGGGAGAGATGCAACATACAAATGGGCTAGAGACCGAGGGGTGGACTTAACTATGGATGCCATTGCACAGGTTATTCATAACTGTGAAACGTGTGCCATCATCAAACAAGCCAAGAGGATGAAACCTCTTTGGGAGGAAGGGCGATGGCAAAAGTACAAATTTGGGGAGGCATGGCAGGTTGATTATATCACCTTGCCACGATCTCGCAATGGTAAGCATTATGTGCTTACTATGGTGGAGGCAACCACTGGGTGGCTTGAAACATATGCAGTACCCCATGCTACCGCCCGGAACACCAACTGGGTCTCGAGAAACAAGTCCTGTGGTGACATGGCACCCCAGAAAGGATTGAGTCAGATAATGGGACTCATTTCAAAAATTCTCTTGTAAATACTTGGGCCAAAGATCATGGCATCGAGTGGATTTACCATATTCCCTATCATGCACCAGCCTCTGGTAAAATTGAACGATACAATGGATTGTTAAAAACGATGCTAAAAGCACTGGGTGGCGGAACATTTAAGCACTGGGAGAAGCATTTGGCAGAAGCCACCTGGTTAGTCAGTACCAGAGGATCTATCAATCGTGATGGTCCCAACCAATCCAGTTCCCTACATACCGTAGAGGGAGATAAAGTCCCTGTTGTACATGTAAAGAACATGTTAGGAAAGGCAGTTTGGGTTCTTCCAGCTTCTGGAAAGGGCAAACCTCTCTGTGGTACAGTTTTTGCCCAGGGACCAGGATGCACTTGGTGGGTAATGCAGAAGAATGGGGATGTTCAATGTGTACCACAAGGAAACTTGATGCCGGGGGAGTGCAGTTACTAATTCTATGTATATGTATATAGCCATGTGTGTGTAATGCATTTTAATCATTTTTTGTTTGTTTGTTTGTATATATGTATATATATTTTAAGCATGATGTAACGATGTAGAATAAGGGGTGGAATGTCATGGTTCTATGTTTTTGTTTTCGTTTTTTTTATTTTGGGTTTCAGTATTCCACATCAAAACATCATGTAGTGTACGGGGCACTAAAGTGTCACTGCCCCAATCCCAGCTACCTATCCCTGTACATTACAGCAGTCACGGGATCTGGCCCTTCCGGGTGGGAGGGGCGCTCTCTTGCTGCCTGGCAGTGGGTGCTGGAGGTGCTTTCCTGGCCGTTCCAAGCTTTCCAGGTTTGACTCGGTCCCGGGAACTCTCTCTCTCTCTCATCTTGTCTGATTTATTAATCTCAATTTCAATTGAATTGTATATATTGTGTTATTTTGTATTACGATATTATAGTAAAATAAGTTTTCCACCATAGATTGCTACCGCTGCTCTTTTCCTCCCTTCCTTCCTTCCCATTTCGTATGGGACTGGGGGGTGGGGGGAGGGCAGAGGCCTGTCGCCCCTGTCACGGACATAAATTGATCTAATCAACTCCGTGACAACTGAGCTCACGGAAGGGCTGGGAAACGCAGGGCTCAGATGTGTGCCTGGGCTTCTGGTGTCAGTGAAATTGGGTGAGCAGTGAGGTTTGGGAGGGACCGACTTGTTGGCCTTGAGATTGATGCCCGGCTCCTTGCTCGTCACATTCTGTTCGGCTCTGAGGTTCCGGACACGGCTTGCTCTTCTAAGCAGTGTGAGGGCTCTGAGAAAGACTTAGTTGGATGCAGCAGGAAAGCACAGCTGCTGGTGGATGCCAGTGTCCGCTCCCGAGGCTCTGCACCAAGGTACGTGGTTCCCTAATGTCTCCTGTTTCACACGCTCGCTCAGGTCCTCGGGGCTTGGTGTCGGTTGTCCCTCGTGCTGACATTGCTGTCACCGGGTGTTCTTCCTCTCCCCTTCCTCAGCTCTGCCCAGTGCTGATGGGATGTCAGTGCCACCTGCTGCTCTCCATGAACTGCAGGTTCAATTCCTTTTGGCTTCCACAGCATTTGCTACTCTTTTGTTCTGTCTCACTTCTCTTTTTTCCATGTTGCGTGCTGGCGCCTCGCTGGAGTTCCCAGGATGCCACTGCACACTTTGGACCAAGTGAGATGCAGAAGAAGAGGTAGGCTCCTGAACAGGCTGCTGCTGAGTGCTGTCCTTGACCTGGGGTTTGTACAATTCCCACCCTTCGTTGCTAAGCCACGTTGTTCAGTAGTGCGAGTGAAGCTTTCTTCTTTCTTTCTTTCTAGGATTGGTGACTCGTGCAGCAGATGCAGCAGGCATCTTGGGCTGCCCAAGCTTCCGCAGTGAGCGTGTCCTGTTCCTGGTAAAGGTGTGGGCGTTCCTGGACACGAAGGTATTTATCTTCATGCCTTGCCCATGTGCCCAGTCCCCCACCAGATGCTGTTTGCCTTTTGGCCCCCCTGATTTGCTGTACTGCTGCGCCCCGATCCTTGCAGAGGGGTAAGTGACACCTTTGTCCCTTCCGGAAAGCGCTCTCCACTTTCCTCTCGTTGGTCATCGGCAGCAACGTCCCTCTCTCGACAGGCTCTCATTGGTCATCGGCAGTGCCGTCCCGCCCTTGCCAGCCAGTGATTGGTCATTGGCAGGGCCGTGCGCCTCTTGTCAGCCTGTGATTGGTCACCGGCTGTGCCGTCCTGACCCCTGGTGCCTACTATCGGTCATCTGGAAGCGCCGTCCCGCCCCCGACAGCCTCTCATTGGTCATCGGCAGCGCCGTCCCGCCCCCGGCAGCCTCTCATTGGTCATTGGCAACGCCGTCCCGCCCCTCCAGCATCTCATTGGTCACTGGTAGCATGGTCCCTCCCCCATGTGCCTCTCATTGGTTACCGGCAGCGCTGTCCCGCCCCCGCCAGCCTCTCATTGGTCATCGGCAGCGCCGTCCCGCCCTCGTCAGCCTGTGACTGGTCACCGACAGCGCCGTCCCGGCCCTCGTCAGCCTGTGATTGGTCATCGGCAGCGCCGTACCGCCCTCATGTGCCTCTCATTGGTCATCGACAGCACCGTCCCGCCCCCTTGTGCCTCTCATCGGTCATCGGCAGCGCCGTCCCGCCCCCATGTGCCTCTCATTGGTCACCGGCAGCGCCTTCACACCTTCATGTGACTCTCATTGGTCATCGGCAGCGCTGTCCCGCCCTCGCCAGTCTTTCATTGGCCATGGGCAGCTCCGTTCCACCACTGCCTGCAACTCATTCGTCTGCAGCAGCCTTTTCCCCCACCTGTTCCCCCGCCTTTTTCCCCTCCTTTACTCGCCTTTTCCACCGCCTTTTCCCCATTTCTCTTCTCCTTCCCTCGGCCCCTTCTCCCCTTTCCTTTTCCTCGTTCTCATGTCCTGTTTTATGCTTCCAGGTCCCCTTTTTACTGTCCCTTACCCCCTCTTACATCCTCTATTTTGCCCCTTTTTCCCCCTCTTCTCCTCCCTCCTTTTCTCCTCCTCATCTCCTTTTCTTTTTCCTCCCTTTCTCATTCTTCTTTTCCCCTTTCCCCTCTTGTCTTCCTTTCCCTTTTTCCCCCTTTACTCTCCTCTTCTTCACCCCCTTCTTCTTTTTGCCCCCATCCCCACTTCCCCTTTCACCCCCTTTACCCCTTTTCCTCCCCATCTCCCTTTTTGCCCCGTCCCCCTTTTTTGTTTTGCTTTTCCTCTTTGTCTCCCCCTTCCTTTTCCCCCCCTCGACCCCATTCCTTGTTCCTTCCCCATCGTCCCCTTTTCTTCCGAAGCCGATTCCGTTCTCAGTGCGATGGTGGCTCCTGCGAGCAGCAGAGCCCCGAGCAGCAGCGCTGCGTCTTGGCTCCCCCATTGCCCGCTGCTGAGCTCTTCCTGCCCTGGCTCCTCATTGGCTGAGCGCTGCAGCTTCCCCTTTGTGGCGACGCTTCACCACTCGCACAAACAGCCAGCAGACGCACATCTTTGCTGCCCAAACACACGCAGGCCTTCATTGCTTCATTGCTTTCTCACCACTGCTCTCTTAACCAACGTGCGGTCGGAACTTGCGGCTCTCAGGTTTTCAGCATCAACACAGACACAGCCTCTGAATTGCTTCATTCCCCCCTGCCATTTGTGCCCTTCCCGCTGCTCGTCGTTCTGCTCATCCGGTTGTTTTTCCGCAGCGCTGAGCTTGGCAGGAGGACAGAGGGGAGCAGCTGGGAGCCTCACGGCCTCCTCGCGTTCCCACGCAGCGGGACAGCGCTGCTGTATGCGCTGGCCCTGATTCCTCCCTCATTCCCTTCTCCATTTTTCCTCCCTCGTCGCGATTTCCTTTTTTTTCCTCCCTCGTCCCCCTGTTCCTTTTGTCCTTCTCGTGCACTTCCTACCATCCCGCCTTCTTCCTGCCTTCCCTCATCTCTTCTTGCACTCTTTGAGCCCTTTTTCTCCCCCCATCCTTATTTCTCTTCACATTCCCCTGTTCTTTTTTCCCCTTTCCTCTTCTTCATCTCCAGCTCCGCTTCCCCCCCACCTCACGTCCCCTTTCTTCTGTCCCTGTACCCCATTTTTCCTTTTTTTCTTTCCCCACACCCTTTTTCTCTTGTTTTTCTCTGCTGTCCCCTATTGCCTTTTTCCTCTTGCCCCTCTCTCCTTTCTTCCCCCTCATGCTGTTACAGAAGAGAGGGAAGGAATGATGGACAAGCTGGTGCACGATGGCAGCAGCAGGGTGGAAGCCCAGGTGGGTGCGATGAAGCCGGGGGTGGGACTGGGTGGAGCCAGAGCCCAGCCTGAGCTCATGGAAGGGCTGGGAATGGCAGGGCTCAGATGTGTGCCTGGGCTTCTGGTGTCAGTGAAATTGGGTGAGCAGTGAGGTTTGGGAGGGATCGACTTGTTGGCCTTGAGATTGATGCCCAGCTCCTTGCTCGTCACATTCTGTTCGGCTCGAGGTTCCGGACACGGCTTGCTCTTCTAAGCAGTGTGAGGACTGCGAGAAAGACTTAGTTGGATGCAGCAGGAAAGCACAGCTGCTGGTGGATGCCAGTGTCCGCTCCTGAGGCTCTGCACCAAGGTACGTGGTTCCCTAATGTCTCCTGTTTCACACGCTCGCTCAGGTCCTTGGGGCTTGTTGTCGGTTGTCCCTCGTGCTCACGTTGCTGTCACCGGGTGTTGTTCCTTTCCCCATGCTCAGCTCTGCCCAGTGCTGATGGGATGTCAGTGCCACCTGCTGCTCTCCATGAACTGCAGGTTCAATTCCTTTTGGCTTCCACAGCATTTGCTACTCTTTTGTTCTGTCTCACTTCTCTTTTTTCCATGTTGCGTGCTGGCGCCTCGCTGGAGTTCCCAGGATGCCACTGCACACTTTGGACCAAGTGAGATGCAGAAGAAGAGGTAGGCTCCTGAACAGGCTGCTGCTGAGTGCTGTCCTTGACCTGGGGTTTGTACAATTCCCACCCTTCGTTGCTAAGCCACGTTGTTCAGTAGTGCGAGTGAAGCTTTCTTCTTTCTTTCTTTCTAGGATTGGTGACTCGTGCAGCAGATGCAGCAGGCATCTTGGGCTGCCCAAGCTTCCGCAGTGAGCGTGTCCTGTTCCTGGTAAAGGTGTGGGCGTTCCTGGATGTGAAGATATCTTCATGCGTTTCCGATGTGCCCAGTCCCCCACCTGATAATGTTAGCCTTTGGGGCTCCCCTGAGTTGCTGCATTGGCAGCAGATAACTGCTGGTTTGACTGCCTTAAAGGCTGTCAGGAAAGATGTCTTCTGCGAAACCCCTGAGCTACCAACTGCCAAGGAAGTTGGAATGTTCCCAGGAATGACAGGAAGCCGACCACGGATGCGCAGCTATGGGATGTTGGTAAAGCCGAGTCTGCTCTATCTTTCCCTTTTCCATCCCCATTTACTCTCCGTCCGCATTCCGCTTTATCCCCTTTTCCTCCTCATCCCCGTTTCCCCCCAGTTTCTTCCCCCTCTTTCTCCCCTGCCTTTGCCCTGTTTCTCTTCACCTTCCCCTCTTCCCTTTTCCCCTTTCCCTTTACTTGTCCTCTGGTATCCTTTTTTCCTTCCAGGTCTCCTTTTTTCTATCCATTCCTCCCTTTTATTTCCCCTTTTACGCCCCCTTTTCTCCCTGCTCACCTCCATTCCCCTTTTCCTCCTGCTCTCCTCTCTCCTTTCCTATTCCTCGTCTCCTTTTTCATCCCCCCCTCAATCTCCTTTTCCCCTTTTGCCCCTTGTCTTCCTTTCCCCTTTTCCTTTTTTTCCCTTCTCTTCTTTCCCCCCGTTCTTCTTTTTTTTGCCCCAATCCCCACTTCCTCTTTCACCCCCTTTACCCCTTTTCCTCCCCATCTCCATTTTTGCCCCATCCCCCTTCTCTCATTTTCCTTTTCCCCTCCTCGAACCCATTCCTTTTTCACTCCTCGTCCCCATTCCTTGTTCCTTCCCCATCGTCCCATGCTCTTCCGAAGCCGATTCCATTCGCAGTGCGATGGTAACTCCTGCGAGTAGCAGAGCCCAGAGCAGCAGGGCTGTGTCTTGGCTCCCCCAATGCCCGCCACTGAGCTCTTCCTGCCCTGGCTCCTCATTGGATGAGCGCTGCAGCTTCCCCTTTTTGGCGATGATGCACCACTCGCACAAACAGCCAGCAGGCGGGCAAAAGGCAGGGAAAAGGCTGCTACTGTCCAATGAGATGGTGGTGGAGGCGGGACGGCGCTGCCGATGACCAATGAGACGCTGATAGGGCGGGACGGTGCTGTCAATCACCAATGAGAGACACACGAGGGCGGGACGGCCCTGCCGATGAGAAATCACAGGCTGGCGAGGGCGGGACGGCGCTGCTGGTGACCAATGAGAGCCTGGCGAGAGAGGGACGGTGCTGCCGATAACCAACAAGAGGAAAGTGGAGAGCGCTTTCCGGAAGGGACAAAGGTGTCACTTACCCCTCTGCAAGGATCAGGGCGCAGCAGTGCAGCAAATCAGAGGGGCCAAAAGGCAAACAGCATCTGGTGGGGGACTGGGCACATGGGCAAGGCATGAAGATAGATACCTTCGTGTCCAGGAACGCCCACACCTTTACCAGGAACAGGACACGCTCACTGCGGAACCTTGGACATCCCAAAATGCCTGCTACTTCTGGTGCTGGAGTCGCCAATCCTAGAAAGAAAGAAGAAAGCCTCACACGCCGTCCTCAACAAAGTGGGCTAGAAAAGAAAGGTGGGCATTGGACAAACCCCAAGACGAGGACAGCACTCAGCACAAGCCTGTTTAGGAGATACCTCTGTTTTTGGCACCTCACTTGGTCACAAGTGTGCCCGGGGGTCATGGGAACTCCATGAGTTCCCGAGGCACCGCCAGGCAACATGGAAAAAAGAGAAAAGAAACAGAACACAAGTGTAGCAAATACTACAGGAGCCAAAATGAATTGAACCTGCCGTTTATTGAGAGCAAAAAGAAAAAAAAAGAAGAGAGACAGAATGAAAGGGTAGCAAATGCTATGGAAACCAAAAGAAATCAAACCTTCCTTCTATAAAGAGCAGCAGGTGGCACTGACAACCCATCAGCACTGGGCAGATCTGGGCATGGGGAAAGAAAGAACACCCGGTGAAAGCAACGTGAGCACGACGGACAAGCGACACCAAGCCCCAAAGGACCTCAGCGAGCGTGTGAAACAGGAGACGGCAGGGATCCGGGGGACCGGGCACATCCAGGAACGCCCACACCTTTACCAGGAACGGGACACGTTCACTGCGGAAGCTTGGGCAGCCCAAGATGCCTGCTGCATCTGGTGGAGGAGTGGACAACCCTACAAAGAAAGAAGAAAGCTTCACACACGGTGCTCAACAGCGTGGCTTGGCAACAAAGTCTGGTCATTATACAAACCCCGAGTCAAGGACAGCACTCAGCAGAAGCCTCTTTAGGAGCCTACCTCTACTGTTGCATCTCACTTGGTCAGAAGCGTGCACTGGCGTCCTGGGAACACCAGCGAGGCGCCAACAGGCAACATCGAACAAAAAGAAGGGAGATATAAGGGAGAATAAAAGTGTAGCAAATGCTATGGAAGCCAAAAGGAATTGAACCTACCTTTTATTAAGAGCAGCAGGTGGCACTGACATCCCATCAGCACAGGGCAGTTCTGGGCATGGGTAGAGGAAGAACACCCAGTGACAGCAACGTGAGCACGAGGGACAAACAACAGCAAGACCGAGGACCTGAGCGAGCGTGTGAAACAGGAGACATTAGGGAACCACGTACCTTGGCGCAGAGCCTCAGGAGCGGACACTGGCATCCACCAGCAGCTGTGCTTTCCTGCTGCATCCAACTAAGTCTTTCTCAGAGCCCTCACACTGCTTAGAAGAGCAAGCCGTGTCCGGAACCTCGAGCCGAACAGAATGTGACGAGCAAGGAGCCGGGCATCAATCTCAAGGCCAACAAGTCAGTCCCTCCCAAACCTCACTGCTCACCCACCCTCACTGACACCAGAAGCCCAGGCACACATCTGAGCCCTGCCATTCCCAGCCCTTAAATGAGCTCAGGCAGGGCTCTGGCTCCACCCAGTCCCACCCCCGGCTTCATCGCACCCACCTGGGCTTCCAACCTGCTGCTGCCATCCTGCACCAGCTTGTCCATCATTCCTTCCCTCTCTTCTGTAACAGGATGAGGGGGAAGAAAGGAGAGAGAGAGCAAAGAGGAAAAAGGGAATAGGGGACAGCAGAGAACAAAACAAGGGGGTGGGGAAAAAAAGGGAAAAATGGGGACCAGAGACAGAAGAAAGGGGACGTGAGGTGGGGAGGAAGCGGAGCTGGGGATGAAGAAGAGGAAAAAGGGAAAAAAGAACAGGGGAATGTGAAGAGAAATAAGGCTGGGGGGAGAAAAAGGGCTCAAAGAGTGCAAGAAGAGATGAGGGAAGGCAGGGAAAAGGCGGGATAGCAGGAAGTGCATGAGAAGGATAAAAGGAAAAGGGGGACGAGGGAGGAAAAAAAGCAAAAGGGGGACGAGAGAGGAAAATGGGAAAAGGGGGACGAGAGAGGAATCAGGGCCGTCGCATGCAGCAGCGCTGTCCCGCTGCGTGGGAACGTGAGGAGGCCGTGAGGCTCCCAGCTGCTCCCCTCTGTCCTCCTGCCAAGCTCAGCGCTGCGGAAAATCGTCCGGATGAGCAGAACGACGAGCAGCGGGAAGGGCACGAATGGCAGGGGGGAATGAAGCAATTCAGAGGCTGTGTCTGTGTTGATGCTGAAAACCTGAGAGCTGCAAATTCCGACCGCACGTTGGTTAAGAGAAAGCAGTGGTGAGAAAGCAATGAAGCAATGAAGGCCTGCGTGTGTTTGGGCGGCAAAGATGTGCGTCAGCTGGCTGTCTGTGCGAGTGGTGAAGCGTCGCCACAAAGGGGAAGCTGCAGCGCTCAGCCAATGAGGAGCCAGGGCAGGAAGAGCTCAGCGGCGGGCAATGGGGGAGCCAAGACGCAGCGCTGCTGCTTGGGGCTGGGCTGCTCGCAGGAGCCGCCATTGCACTGCGAATGGAATGGGCTTTGGAAGAAAAGGGGACGATGGGGAAGGAAAAAGGAATGGGGCCGAGGGGGAGGGAAAGGAAGGGGGAGAAAAAGAGGAAAAGGAAAACAAAAAAGGGGGACGGGGAGAAAAGGAGATGGGGAGGAAAAGGGGTAAAGGAGGTGAAAGGGGAAGTGGGGATGGGGGCAAAAAGAAGAAGAAGGGGGCGAAGAAGAGGAGAGTAAAGGGGGCCAAAGGGAAAGGAAGACAAGAGGGGAAAGGGGAAAAGAAGAATGAGAAAGGGAGGAAAAAGAAAAGGAGATAAGGAGGAAAAAGGGGCAAAAAACAGGGAGATAAAAGGCAGGAAGGGAGAGTAAAAAGGGGACCTGGAAGGAAAAAACAGGACATGAGAAGAAAGAAGAGGAAAGGGGAAAAGGGGCCGGGGGAAGGTGAAGAGAAAGGCGGGCAAAAGGCGGGCAAAAGGCGGGCAAAAGGCGGGCAAAAGGCGGGCAAAAGGCGGGCAAAAGGCGGGCAAAAGGCGGGCAAAAGGCGGGCAAAAGGCGGGCAAAAGGCGGGCAAAAGGCGGGCAAAAGGCGGGCAAAAGGCGGGCAAAAGGCGGGCAAAAGGCGGGCAAAAGGCGGGCAAAAGGCGGGCAAAAGGCGGGCAAAAGGCGGGCAAAAGGCGGGCAAAAGGCGGGCAAAAGGCGGGCAAAAGGCGGGCAAAAGGCGGGCAAAAGGCGGGCAAAAGGCGGGCAAAAGGCGGGCAAAAGGCGGGCAAAAGGCGGGCAAAAGGCGGGCAAAAGGCGGGCAAAAGGCGGGCAAAAGGCGGGCAAAAGGCGGGCAAAAGGCGGGCAAAAGGCGGGCAAAAGGCGGGCAAAAGGCGGGCAAAAGGCGGGCAAAAGGCGGGCAAAAGGCGGGCAAAAGGCGGGCAAAAGGCGGGCAAAAGGCGGGCAAAAGGCGGGCAAAAGGCGGGCAAAAGGCGGGCAAAAGGCGGGCAAAAGGCGGGCAAAAGGCTGCTGCTGTCCAATGAGATGCTGGCGGAGGCGGGATGGAGCTGTCGATGACCAATGAGACGCTGATAGGGCGGGACGGTGCTGTCGATCACCAATGAGAGACACATGAGGGCGGGACGGCACTGCCGCTGACCAATCACAGGCTGGCGAGGGCGGGACGGCGCTGCC